CGTCACATATGACAATTCGATCCAATATGTCTTCATTTCTGTACCGATTCAATAATGCAACACAAGTTTCAACATTGCATTTCTTTCTGCAGATTCGTCGAATCATGAGGCATCCATTTTTCATATTTTTGTATCCTATTGATTTAATGCTTGATTGAAATGAGTCAATATTGTATGTACGAGTAGGGTAACGTTAAACTATGCCGCTAATTCCTGGGTAGTTTGACTCGGATCGGCTTCCACGATCTTCAATTCGGCGTTATTCACCTGTGTGAGCGGTCTTCCTCGTGGTTCGTTCTTCAAGTCGAGGTTTCCATTACGAAAGCGTTTAAACCAAAAATGCATGGTGCAATAGTTCTCCGAACGCAGTGTTGATATTGCGCGCCGTTTCGTTTTGAATACGTATTCCGCGTCGGAACTCGTATTCAAAAATGACTGAAAGTCGAAATCGAAATGCACAATTTTTAAAAGAAAACCTCATAGGTATCATGTGAAAAAAGTTTCACACGAAAACCTCACACCATAAAGATTTTATGTCAATTCGAAGTATCTGTTACTAATATTCATAATTTAACCCCTATTGTTTGCATCTCAATTAAAAACATATGTTACACGAAATTCCCTCCAATCAAATAATCTCGTAGCACTATCTATATTATTCAGATCGTCGTTTAGACTAGGCTGGCACACACGGCTCTTAATATCCGAGGCGGCTCCGAGGCGACAGTGCCGTCTCTAAGCCTCTCAGACAGATGGCACCGTTAATACTGATTAATTGCCGGACAAATCTAGCCGACACATATTTTGGGGATTGCGACGTCTTGTATTCGTAGCAAATTGCGCCGTACGACAGCTAGAGTATGAGACAATTTGGATGAAGATGTGCTTCACGTACAGTTTCAAATAAACCTTGTTGAGTTAGTATGCTCTGCGTTCCAAAAGTTTGAAAAGTGTTTTCAAAGATTTAATGAGATTATTTCTGTTTGGTTTGCAAATTTATCGTATGGCGTTGTAATTGCTTCTGCTACAATACAAGTAAATGATGAATATTGATTCATAAATTACCTCTAAATAAATTTTACACACCTGCTTGACTGACTTAATACCTTCATCTTACATAAGATTACAGGTACATCTGGTGATACTAGTGAAATTGAGTATATTTTCCGCTTATATGTTTGCTCATCAAAGCTCCATGAATCCAGAATTCCAGAGCTCATGTTTTGACTTAAAAGTGTCTGTGTGGTTATTGGTACCGATGATGGCATATCATTCAGGTGGTGTGGCTCGCTTTAATTTGGTTCATGCTGCACGATTACTTTCACGTGAATCATCATCATCATCTGCTTACCCTTATCTCAATTTTATTTGGGGTTGGCGCAGTTAGGATTATTTTTACATTCTATTCTACCGTTGGTCATTTCACTGTATTCCCTCCCAAGCCACATCCTCTCTCACAGAGTCCATCCACCTTTTGTTTGGCCTTTCTTTTCTCTTGTACCCTTCAACTTCCATACCTAACACTTTGCTCGCCATATTTGTCTAATTCCTCTGTATGATATCTCCATACCAAGAAAACCTATTACTTTTTAACTTTTCATCCAGTGGTGTTCCAGTTCCATATTCGTAAACGAGCATCATGAGTAGGGGCTTTTCACTTTTGGACTGAAGTTGTGTTTTTACTTAACTGTTGATAGTTAAGTACAAGACGTTAAACTAGCGTTGTGCTTATATATAATTTAACAAGTAACTTTTGTTACTTCATGTGATCTACGATTGACCTCAAGGCTGACTGACCACGGCTAGCGCAACCTGGGTCTCAATTCTACTATTTTAACATTATATCAACAGACTGTCGATGAAATTATGTAAGATCAATAGTCTCCCCATAACTTGTCAGTGATACAAATGTCGTCGATGTCTTCATAATAGTTTGGTAAATATTACATTTCAAATTTGTAAGGAAATTATATATTTATTTTTCAGGCATGGCAATATTGTTGATATCACCATTGATGTGCCATTGTCACTACATCGACAGTCTATTTACACTGTGAATTTATGTTAGTAGAATAACGAAATTCTAACCTAAATCAATGGCATCTCAATAGCGTTTCAATGGAATGACAGTGGCTTGTACATTAACATAAAATAGCCGAATTGAGGGCCTGGTCAAAACGTCAGGTAAATCAAAGGTAAGTGATGCTTATTGATCGCCTTAATTCTCTTTTATGTTATGGAAAGCAAAAGTTTAAAGGTTTATATCATCAGCACAATTATATCCACAAACTGACTCTTCAAATTAAAATATCTTTAAATAGTTTTTATAAAACAGAGTAATTTTCATTTTTGTAAGTGTAATTGTTTCTACATTTTGTGTTAAAAACGAGTGAAAAGTTCAATGTTCAGTTTTACTTAGTTTACTGTCATTAGGTAAATAAACGAAGTCAGATAAGATAATTTTCTTCTTTCTCCAAAGGATAACAAACCCGAGTCGACAATTAAGCAAAAAAAAAACCTTTTATCCTAAATTCATTTAAATTAACGGTAAAATCAATGTAGAATCAGTATTCTTTTAACGTCCCCTGCGACCCCTGACGGATAATTATTAATTAACGCGAAGGGTAGCAGGACCCTTGACAAATTGTCTGTTTGTCTTGTTAAAATAATTCATTTATACGGGCCAAGGTAATATATTTAAAAATACAATTAAATTATTTTGAAATGTGAGATGAGAGTGCTCTTAAATTCACTTAAAAATTTAATTTCGTACGGTAGCATGCTGCTGTGTCGAATAATGATGTTGTCTCTGAAGCAATTAAAGCAAATGATATTTTTAATGGTTTAATTATTTTAATTGTTTGTTCCTATAAATAATTATACTAATAAGAACGTCAAAAATCAATATGATATTTTTATAGTTCCAAAAATGTTAAAATTACTTATTGAAGTATTATTTAGAATTTGATTTTGTTCTTTTGGAAAATGTTTTAAAAGCGACAAACAAAGTTCATAGCAGCAGATTCTTCCTCTAATTAAACTTTAGGATTAAAGAAGTAAATCTCATGCTTATTTAATTTATAAGATAGGAAGGCAAACGATCAGTTGATCTGACAGTAAGTGAAAATCGCCGCCCATTCCACCTGCCGAGAGCCACAAGTGCAAATTGGAAGAAGAATTGCAGCTTAAAAATCGGAAGATCGTATCGGTTTAGAATTGGACGATGCTTTAGGCCAAACCGATATTAATGTTTTAAATACTTAAATTCAGTCAGTACTAGTAGTCATATCTTTAGATGTTGAGATGCCAAAAGAGTACTCAGACCATAGAGCTATTTAATGTTTTTGTAATATTTTTAATAAGTACCGGTTGCTTACTTACCTGTTTAATACCTTCATTCCGCAGAAGACTACGATTACCTGGTAATTCTGATGAAGTGTAAAAGGTAAAAAGGAGATGCGAGAATCAAACCCGCGACCTTTGGAATAGCAGTTACACAAACCACCATGCCATTCGGTCGTCTAACAATGTCTATAATAATCATAAATCGTGTCGAACCCTCCTCAGTTTTAACCACAAAAGTTTTCTCTAAACTACCTATTCATGGAACGACTTGCTGTGTCTAACATATACGATATTTTACTTTCATTACATATCTCGGCTGACATTACCTCTACTCGTTTCATATTTTGTCCTTTATCAAGAATCACTATTTTAAAATAAAACCCCGTCTACAAACGCTTTGAAACGTCAAACGAGCAATTTTCGGGCTATTTCGAATGCATAAAACTTTACACCCGTGCCGCAGAATCAGCTGCCAGTATATTCAGATCCCTAAGATTTTAGCAGTCTGTTTTAAATTTTCTTGAATATTAGAAAGTGACGTGAAAAGTAAAAGCTCAATATATGATGGTAGTTTTAAGCGTTATAACTGTTAATTCTGAAGAACAGCCAAAACCTTTCCCCTTAACGAGCGAGAGTCATTAAGAACTGTTTAAGACCCCTCAAAATGTTCCGGGCTTCGGAGCTTAGCGCGAACTTACAGAATTGATAACTTTCTACAGAATTAGTCTAAGTCTAAAATTTGACAGCTAGTGACGGCTCCCTGATTTTTAGATTACCCACATTAATGCAATATTTGTTGTATTTACATAATCTTTTATTGACAAGTAGATTGCTTTGTTGATTCGTATGTACTATTGTAAAGTTTTGGATTAGACATAACGATGGGAAAAAAAAATAATTATATTATATTATTATTATATTATACTTATAATAGTTTATTTTTGTATTTGTAGTCATAAAAAAGTAATTAAAATAGTGTTGAGATCCTTTTTGCTAAGGCAACAATCAGTGCCAGTAATGTAACTTAACGTTCCCAGACAGTATACAAGACTCTAGAACCGATCAGTGTGTGAATTCCTAGGTAGGAGTTATAGGTAGACGAAAATTCCTTTGTGTCTTTCCTTTCCTTTCCTTACGTGATCATGCCTTGCGGACAACGTAAAAAAGGATGATGTCGGGTTATACATATATATACGGGTATATGTTAGTTCTACTCAGCTTAAGAAATTTATTTTGCGCGATGCAGAATCATGAGTTACTAAGTAGTTTATCTGATCTCCGCAAGATGGCCTTAATGTATGTTTTGTTGTGTGTGGATTATATTGGATGTCGAGGCAACTAATAAACTCACCTCACAAGTTGAGTTAATATAAATGTAATACAATAAAACCTAGGCCAAACCCTCCTTTCCAAAGAGAAGCCTATGTCCAGAAGTGGACTATCAAAGGCTGTTGACGTTTGATGATAATTAAATAAAACTTAAAATTGTAATACCTTTTATGTAATTGTATTATTTGTTGTACACATACCCAATTACATTACTTGAATAGATACTATAAAATATATAAAATTAAATATGTTTTATGATGATATTGTATCCATAGTTATGGGTATATGAATTTCTCTCCCTTTTGTTATATTAAGTATAAAGTTAGTTACTCCAAATCTCTAGGTACAAATTTAACTTTCATGTTCTCATCCAACGGCATCAAGAACAATCCATGATTCTCCACCTGAACGTCGATGGGGCTGGGTGTATCAGGGAGTGTTTCAATCTTAAATGTTAAGATTATTGATGCTATAGGTTGTTTTAAAGCTTGGAAAGCGAAGCGCGTACCTGAAAGGAATATATTATTAAAATTTTCATTTTTGTTCCCAAACCATTGCAGATTTTAAAAGATCTGTAATGTCCATAAAGGTTGGTATTCATTAGTATTTTTATTAGGTTTGAACTGACATTATAAGAATTAGTGTTATTTTATGACATAGCAAGCGAGCAGGCAATATATTTCAAATAACATACATGATGACAGTTTCTTCAGGTAGATACGAGTAAGTCAGATAAATTCCTCGCTCCTCAAAAACTCAGATTTAATTTATTACACCAGCTCTTTGCGTCAACACAGAATTACGGCTTAGCCCCGAGTTCATGATAGAAATTATGTGCCGCGCAATCGAGTAGAGCGTGAAGCTTCAACTAGGAATTAAATTGCGAAGTACGCTAACATAGTTGGATTTAGTCAACTCGGTCGGCACAGTATATTGGGGTCACCGATATGATCTATTCAAATCGGAGTGTTATCCATGATAAGTTTCTTGTCTTTAATAATGACTATGATACTATATCCGATCAAGATAGAGATTTTATATGGACGGCTTCTACTCCGCCCAAGTGGACATAAGATATTAAAGAAAGAAAGATAAAACTATATTTCTATTTGACAATGGGATTCTGCTCACCTATGCAACTTCGAGGTCCTTCACCAAAAGGTAAATATGTAAAAGGCGTTATATTCCTCTCATTCTCGGGCATAAACCTATCAGGGTTAAATACCAGGGGATCAGGAAAGTACTGCGGGTCCATTTGCGTAGCCACGGCGTTTAAATAAACTGGTGTACCAGCGGGAATGGTTACTTTTTCATCAATCTTGTAATCCTTTGTAGCTACACGATCCAACCAGCCCATCGGTGGAAAGAGTCTAAGGGTCTCTAAAAAAAGAAGATTCGATTATCTTCTTGCTCTTCTGCAAAATCTGTTTGGGGCGGCAAAATGTATTCCATTGTACAGGATTATGGTTGCTCACCAACGCTCTTTAGAAACATAATCGCTTACGAATGGGATAAAAGAAAAGTTAATTCGTGGCAATTAAAATGGTTAAGTTGAGAAACAAGGAGAGACATAACACTATCCGGATCTATTATTTTAGTAATATCTATAGCAAAAAGAATGATATGATTTTCTTGAACTCAAAACGGAATGTGTTCATCATCATCATCATCATCCTCAACAGCCTTTACTAGTCCAGTCGTCCAGTAGTCTAGTACTTAGAAAGGAGGTTTTGGCCTATTACACTACGCTGGCCAGTAATGTGTTCATTTACCTTTATTTCTAAAGTTTTTTTATGTAATACATGTATATTAAAGTATCATTATAAAAATAGATTAGTGTACATTATCTGCTGAGGATTTACAAAAAGGTAAATTACCTTTAATGACGCAGTTGAGGTAAACGAGCTCCGACAGGGTGTTTGCGTCCAAATCTTGAACACCATGCTTGTTTTTAACGGCAATTATCTCTTCGTATATTTTTTCCTGAGACAATAGGTACTAATTAACTCTTTATAATAGATAATATAAGAGATAGTTCAATTTATTTCATATTTCTAAATAACTTTTAATTTTTACTAAATCACGTATGTATTAAAATTTATAAAGGAAATGAAAAATCATAAAAAACCTAGATCTCACGCCATATTAGTGATAATCATCGTCATCATCAACAGCCTGTAATAGTCCACTGCTGAACGTAGGCCTCTCCTTAGAAAGGAGGTTTTGGCCTACTATACCACGCTGGCAAGACGGGTTGTCATAGGGTTTGAGTCAAGTTTTCCTTCTTTTTGAGGTGTTGGTAACCTGCGTTGTTTTGCGCTCTTATTCGGCTCTTACGAAACCCACGGGATGAATTGGGGTAGTGACATTCCGTATTCTTAATCCGTCACTACACATAATATTACCACAGAATATGTATGTACAGATAAAGCTAGATCATGAACCAAAAAAACATAAAAATAACTCTAACTATTGTAAAATTTAGAGAATGTTATTGTTTTTTAATATTTTTGTGTACATTATTTATTAGCATGTACATTATAAAGTCAGTAATCAATGACTGAGACCGCGGCACTAAACTTAATGCAAATGAAGCAACGCGTCAGTTTAGTTTTTAAATTTAGCAAATTTTGCCCACGATTTAAACAACCAATTCAAGTACCCCATCGGACATTACTTACCATCAGGTGAACCGTCTGCTCGTTTGTCCCCTTTTGCAAAAAAAAGTAGAATTAATAAAAACTTACCTGACAGTGTGGGTGCCAGGCCAGTGTATAAAGAACCCAGCTCATAGCAGAACCAGACGTATCAAAACCCGCAAGAAGAAATACAGATGCTTGGGCAAGAAGAAAATCTTCGCTAATTTCTATGAGGATAAAGAAGCACAGTGTTATCGCCTTGAATATAAAAGAAACTAAAGAAAGTGCAGTATAACTGTTTGTGCACGAATTTGCCCATCACTCTATAGCCATTAGGCAACAGTCTCACAACAGTACAGTGGTAGTTCAATTTAGTACATAAATTTTCTCATTTTTTAAGTCCCACATTAGTTCGGATAATATTCTTCGATGTGCCAATTCATGCGGCCCTGTCCTACTTAAGTAGTTTACAGTTTTTCCCTTTAACCGATATTCCTCCCCTATCATTGCCTTCCATTTTATTTTCATCAACTTTGCGTTTTAAATTGAACTTCCAACTATCCTATTTAGTTCTTAAAGTGCGCAGTTGACGGCAATATTCGTATTCCATCATCATCATTATCAACAGCTTTTAATTGTCCACTGTTGGACCCAGGCCTCTTCTTAGAACGGTGGTTACATGGAGTAACTTAGAAATAATACATGTGTGGGATTGGATTTATAGTCGACAGATGTGGGCGTTTAATAACTCCCTGATAACTCCTTAAAGTTATAAGCGTGAGTGTATCAATGTATGTCATAATATAATCCATCACCAAAACTAAATAGCACAATGAAGAAAGCAATATTTTTACCTTCTCCATCCTCATCAGCTTCTTGTTTTATTTTCAGTAAAGCATCCAAAAGATCTTGGGGCTCGTCAATCTTTTTGTCAAATCCTCCTCTCTGCTCGACGATGGAGCGGAAAATAATTCGTAACCGCCTTAAAGTATCCTTGGGTAAGAATGAGAATCTGTTGACAGAAGAATGTATTTAAAAAAAGTTCTGACTTAGAATAATAATGTTTCAAGAGTATTTTCTAATGGATAAGTTTTATAATGGGTTTTAATTTTATCAATATTAACTTCCGTGAACAAAATTATATGCCCGATTAGTTTCAGACCCGACGGCAAGAACCTTACCTGAAAATATCAACGACCTCTGGTAAGAAGAATATGCTCGACCAGCTCAATCCTCTTTGGATGTTAAAGGCCATGAATTCCCTTGCAATCCCTCTCATAAGACTGTCACCAGTTTTAGCTGACTCGCTGACCATACCAAATGCGGACTCTCCTATCACATCCGTAGTGTAGTCTGCAGAAAGAGTCTGAAGAAGAAAATTGATAAAATAGTCTTCTAAACAATTGATCATAAGTTCAAAGTTTTAGTTTTTGTTTGTGAATTTAATTCGGCAACAGATTCAATTATTTTTTTCGGAATTTTAGGAACCTTTATAAACAAATTAATAGATTAAGAGTAAAATATATACTTTCTGTGGCAACTTCCACATATGGTGAAACGAAGAAACAAACTACAGCACCGTCCAACGAAGACATACCGAACTACGGAGTAACTGTTAATCCTGTATCGCGATATAAATAATTCTCACACCGATTAGCATAATTTTATACAACTTCCCAACATCAATCGTTGGGCCGCGGCCCGCCAGTCATGATCACCTCGCCTGGTCGGAGGATTTTTCTTTTACGTTGGAGGGACATGACATCCGTTGATAATAATTGTTATTATTATAATCTATTGTGCCAGATCGGATTATTTATTTTACTTTATGCACTATTGTACAATGGGGGACTTAATGCTCAGGACATTCTCTTCCAGTTAAGTAGTAGGCGCACATGGGTTGCATTGCTATTCAACTAAAATATACACTACACAACACTACATACTTAGATCTATATACAAAAACACAACACTTTTATATACATATATATATACTATAAATATTATACACCTATACAATATATTTACACATACAAAAACATACAAATCTACATTATATTCGTACACTGTGAATGTAAGTAAATTGGTTGGTGTACTATCGATTGGATGATTCTGTCATCTCATGAGTATCGATTGTATGTAGGTATATGAAGGTTCTGAATACATTGATACATGGTTTGTAAACAAAAAAACTCCCAAAAATAGAAAAGTGTTACTTAATATAAGTAACACACAAATGTTAAACGGTGTTTTGATGTGTGTTTGTAGGTTTACCATCGTGTTATTTATTGTCATTGACAGAAAAATATCGTCAGTGAGGCGTCAAAATATCGGTCGGCGTACACGTAAAGCAAGTCGAGTTTACAATCTTTTCAAGAATATCACTGTAAAAGAGTGTAGGCAACATTTGGAGGCAAACAGAATAAGAACTTCTCAAGCGGGGGCCAACAAAACAGGTCATCAAACGTAACAATTACCTATGAACGTTTGGCGTTTAGATCAAATACAATAGTCGATTACGCCGTCGATCAAATAGGTCAATTTTGGAACAATGTGCACTATTTGTCAATATTCAAAGCTTTGAGAATACGACTCTAACCGCTAGGGTTGTTTGTGACAGTGGAAAGGTCAAATTACCACAACCGGCGACGTCATCTGAACCAAACTTCATTACTTTCAGGGCAAGAACCTCTATCAAATCATTTCTTGCAGAATATTTAAAATTACAATAGTGTGTTCCAAATGACATTTTGACAATTTGGTGAAAATATTTATATTAATAAATTGAAAGACGTGGTTTCAATCCAACTTTTAAGGTATGTGTTTCTTACACATTATACTCGTGCATTGCAATATAAACCCTAATGAAGTTTTTTTAAAATATTGCCTTATTTTCAATATTACAGATTCTAGGACAAATACACCACCTTGCAGGAGCAGAAGCACCTTGCAGGAGGAGGATTTTTGACATCAGTTGATGGTGATTACAAAATTCTTCAAAATTTATTGCCACTGTAATTCTGAAGCTGAAGTAAACCAACGCCGTGCTATCAATCGTTCAGATAGGAGAGAGTTCATCATACAGCTGCGACAACTCTTACATGAGCATCATCAGTAGCAGTGCGTCTTGCATTCGTTATGACTACTAATAACTCCAAAGGTCAAATTGACTGCACGGATGGCGTAGTGGTTTAAGCGGTCGCCACGCCGCATATTACTACGCTGAGTGTTGTGGGTCTGATCCCCACATGGGACGACACTTTGTGTGATCCACAAATTGTTGTTCTGAGTCTGGGTGTCCTTTGTGTCCGTTTCATGTATGTTTGTAAATTCCCCCGCGACACAGGATTTATTCCTAGCGCGGGAGTTGTCTTTTTAATAATAAAAAAAAAAAATCGTTAGAAGCGTGTGGGATAAACTTGAAATTGGCGTCTTTTTGTCATGAGCAGTTGTACGTTGCATGCTCGAGAATCGGTGACCATCAGGGCTATTATTTTCCTCTCCAAAAGGAAAAACAAAAAATATTGCACATTACAATAGGTTAAAGTCGAATTCTTTTTCTATAAACGGAAGATTTTGTTTCATTTCTTTCGATAATTTAATGTCAACATACGGGATTATTGATAATCAATCTTATTTGAATTTACTGGAAGTGTCACATTTCCTTAGTCCTCGAAGGTACACCACCCGTGTGATGCCGAGGCGGGCATAAATAGTAAACCAAGTTTTTTAGGAATCTCGAAAGTTTTGACGATAATATGGCGATACGAAGTTCGCCGGGTCAGCTGGTTTCTAAATAAAAATCCGAGTCTGAAAGACCAAGATTTTAGCAAACTGGATTGATAAGTAAAAAAATTACTTTCATCACATCATCATATTTGTCGGCGCACGAGCACCGAGCAGCGGCGGGGGAGAAGAGGACAGCGGCGCGAGGAAACGATCCTCGCGGTGCGCTAGAACACTCCGCGCAATACATTGGACAGCGACGCTCGCCTTACATATGTATTTTGTTGTACATAATACAAGTACTTAATTTATACAGTCCACTTTATTTCATTTATATACCTAAGTCAAAGAACCTCACGGACATTGGTCCTTCAGTTTTTTAATAAAACCGATTCGGAGAAAACCAGCGAGTCACCTACAAAGCGGCGTTGGCGACCTTTGAACCCGAGACGGACGTCGAATCGCCTACTTCCACGTTGCTGCTACACTGCGGAGCTGAAGACATCTGACTTGGTGGGACGCTTTGGACAAATAAGTGAGTTCGTTCCAATCAGATTTCCTTTTATCTTCGTCTAGGCTTCCAATTTACGAATTTTTCGTCATTTTTTTTTTCTTCCCGTACCCCTTTTCACCTCAATTTGGGTTAAATATTTAATTTAACGCTCGGTCTTGCTTGCCATCACGTCTTATTGCGCTTATTTGCATTTGTGTAGGCTTACGCGCTGAGATTGAATTATTATTTTTAGTGATAGGTACCTACCTACACACTGCTAAGATTAAAGTTGATAATTTTAATTTCTACATTTTTTAACTTCGTAACATTTCATTGAACGCTCGGTCTTGCTTGCTATCGCATCTTATTGCGCTTATTTGCATTTGCGTAGGCTTAAGCGCTGAGAATAAATCATTATTTCTTGTCTGCATATATGTACTACATAGGCATTACTAGGTACTTACACATTGCTAATATTTAAGCTTCTTATTTTCATTTCTGCATTTTTTTATTATAGTTAAAGCGCATTCTTAATCGTTACTTATTACGATTTGCTTAAAAGGTGTGCATCTTTTTATTTTAACAGTAACTAATGCGTCATATCTAACCGAGCCGTTTCAAGGTCAAGGCCCGCATACCATTGCTTACAAAACCGGTTTTGATTCATTTTTATAAACTTTAACTAGCTGTTGCTTTATTATATTCACAATGAGTGAGACTATTGAAACATTAAAAAAACGGCGCGGTGCACTTAAAGCCAAGTTAACCATTTTCAAAAACTATATTTATCCGCTCAGTAGTGCTTCTGGCATGTCCGATTTGCAGCGTCTTGAGCTCGAAGGACGTTATGAACGACTCCAAATCTTATATAGTGACTTTGACGCGTTACAGACGGAGATTGAGGTGCTGTTAGACACGCCCGAGGAGGAATTTAAAAGCCGGTGTGATTTCGAAGAACAGTACCACGCCGCCACAGCCCTAGCTCGGAGCTTACTTTCTACCCATCCTAGTTCTGATGGGTCAGGTAAGGCACACAAAAATGTACGTCTACCAAAAATTGACTTGCCACATTTTGACGGCAGCGTTCAGAGTTGGCTCGAGTTCAAGGACACGTATATTTCCCTAATTCATAACAATAGTTGCAATGATAACATCATGAAATTTCATTATTTGCGATCATGCTTACGCGGTAGTGCAGCTTTAATTATAAAAAATTTAGATTTTACGAGCGAAAACTATATAAATGCTTGGGATGTGCTGTGTCAGCGATATGATAATAATCACCTTCTTATACATAATCATGTACAAGCGTTGTTCAATGTTCAGCCATGTTTAAAAGAATCTAGTAAAAGCTTACGCTACTTGATAGATGTCACTAATAAGAACATTCGAGCTTTAAAAACGTTAAAACAACCGACGGAACATTGGGACACGCTCATTATCTTCATGATGTCGCAAAAACTAGATACCAGCACAAGCCGTTACTGGGAAGAGCATCGTAATACATTATTAAAACCTCCAACTTTAGATCAATTTATTACATTTATAGAGAATCAGATTAACTTATTAGAAAAATTAGAAGAGAATAGTAAAATCAACCTTAAATCTAAATTAACAGAAAACAGCAATAATTTACCCAAACCTAAAAGTTTTGTAATAGCATCTAATGACAATAAAAATAAATCTGCAAATAAATGTCCATTATGTACTGAAAATCATTTACTTTACAGTTGTGAAACATTCAGGAGCTTGCCAGTCGAAGCACGCATTGAAAAGACAAAACAGTTCAAAGTTTGCATGAATTGCCTGCGTTTGGGCCACACAGGCAAAATGTGCAGGTTGTCACATTGCAAATATTGCAAAACACGGCACAACACTCTTTTGCACGTAGAACCTGAACGTGGCGCTCATAATCCAATGCCAAACAATGATAATGTTGCCTTTTCAACTAATTTTGAGCATGAAGATTCATCTTCTTTTGTATTCCTTTCCACAGCCTTGGCGAGGGTGCGTGGTGTCAATGGCACAAAGCACACCGCCCGACTCTTACTGGACAACGGAAGTACTGCCAATTTTATTTCACAAGATTTATATAGCAAGCTGGGTTTGTCACAACACGGCACTAGCTCAACAGTTACAGGTATTAACAATCAGACCTCTTATAGTACACAGTCTTGTAATCTCACGCTTGAGTCTTATTACGGTGACTATTCGGTCGACTTAGATTGTCTTATTTTACCCGAGATAACAAAATTGCTGCCATCGCGTTTCATTAACGTCAATAAGGTCCCTCTTCCTTCAGGGGTGCGTCTAGCGGATCCTTCATTCAATATCCCTTCGGCAATAGACATCCTGGTCGGGGCTGAAATATTTTGGAACGTCTTAGGGCGCAATTCTATTAATTTAGGCAAACATCAACCTAAGCTTCATGAAACGAAGTTAGGTTGGATCATTTCTGGGCACATATCATTTTCAAATAACCATTGCCCTACGTCACAAGCTTCGTCTCATTTTTGTAATTCTATAAAAGACGAAGTCGTCACACGAACGTCACATACTGTCTATAATAAGTCAGATTTTCGACCCACTGGGCCTAGTAGGCCCGTGCGTTGTCGAAGCTAAGATCATTATGCAACGGCTTTGGATCGAAAAATATGACTGGGACGACACAATTTCCACAGATATCCATAATCTCTGGTCTTCATTTGCATGTACTTTATCGTGTCTTAATCAACAAAAAATACCTAGATTTTTATCGTGCAGTAACTCAATAAGAAACGAAATTTACATCTTTGCCGATGCTTCGGAGAAAGCACACGGAGCGTGTCTTTATATTCGTTCTATTAATAGCTCAGATTCCGTTAGGGTACAGTTATTAGTGTCTAAAAATCGAGTAGCTCCTATTAATCCTACTACAATACCAAGGCTCGAACTATGCGGTGCTTTGGTAGCCACAAGACTGTGTACAAAGGTGCGTGACTCTCTTACGATGCAAATCGACAAAATTTATCTTTGGTCCGATTCCACAATTGTACTTGCGTGGCTATGTACGTTACCCAATCACCTAAAACCATTTGTACGTAATAGAGTCAACGAAATCCAAGAAGGTACTGTTGGTTGCACCTGGGGCTATGTTCCGTCGAAGGACAACCCAGCAGATCTTGTTTCCCGAGGGCTGAGGGCTGATGCTATCAGCAACAGTTCTCTGTGGTGGTCTGGTCCAACTTTTTTATTAAAATCGGAAAATGATTGGCCGCAAAAGCCCAACTGTCATGAAGAACAAGATCTACCAGACGTAGTTTGTAATGTAGTTAGTAGCGTTAATAATCAGCTTATTACTAATAAAACGCCACCTAGTTCTATAATTAATGATTTAATTCTTAGATATTCTAATTTTAACCGTTTACAAAGAGTAGTTGCTTATGTACTTAGAGCTATTTACAATTTTAAAAATTCACGTCACAAAAGTACAAGTTTTCTGTCAACACAAAAACTGCAAATATCATTTAATTCTATTATATATAATGCTCAACTTCAAATGTTTCCCGAAGAGTATACCATTTTCAAATTAGGGAAGTCCCTACCGCGTAATAATCGTCTCATTTCTTTATCTCCGTTTATAGACTCTAATAGCACTCTACGTGTTGGCGGTAGGCTTGACAATTCTCCCTATGATTTTAATATAAAGCATCCTATTTTAATTTGTTGTAAGCATCCTATAACAAAATTAATATTCCGATTCGAACATTTGAAGCTTTTTCATGCTGGACCACAGCTTTTATTGACAAATATACGTCAGCGATACTGGCCTATAGGAGGTAGAAATTTATCTAAAGCAATTGTTAGAAATTGCATAAAATGTTTTAGATATAGGGCACAAAATGTACAACCTATTATGGGTCAATTACCTCCGTCTCGCACTGACCTTCAATATCCCTTTCTTAATTGTAGTGTGGACTATGCAGGGCCAATTTTGATCGCTGATCGGAAAGGGCGAGGCTGTAGACTGATTAAGTCATATTTATGCATTTTCGTGTGCCTTGCAGTAAAAGCAGTTCATCTCGAGCTTGTCACAGCATTGACAAAAGAAGCATACATGGCTGCTCTTAGACGGTTTATGTCGCGTCGAGGCAAACCCTGCAGCATCTTGTCCGACAATGGGACAAACTTCGTTGGAGTTTGTAACGAGTTGTGTAGCTTCCTTTCAGGTCCGGACGTTGCTTCGGACATAGCCCAAGAAGGTATAGAATTTAATTTTGCTCCTCCATATTCACCTCACTTTAATGGCATCGCCGAAGCAGCCGTCAAGTCTGCCAAAAGCCACCTCAAAAGAGTTTTAGGTTCTACTCACCTTACGTATGAGGAAATGGCTACTTGTTTGGTCCAAATTGAGGCCATTCTTAATTCTCGTCCTCTCACCGTTGCTTCCTCTGATCCTTTAGATTTTTCCGCTTTGTCACCTGCTCATTTTCTGATTGGCCGACCACTTACGTCTGTTCCGCACCCACAGGTCACTCCAAATGAGACCATCACGCATCTAGAGCGCTTCCAACGAGTGGAAAACATTAGACATCACTTTTGGCAACGTTTTGCTAATGAATATATTTCTACACTGCAGCAAAGGTCGAAATGGAGCGCTTCTACGGGTACTCTGAAGCCGGGGATGTTGTTGCTGATCAGAAACAAGACGCAGCCACCTCTATTGTGGTCACTTGGTCGGGTCACTAAGGTCTTTCCTGGCAGCGACCGAGTGACAAGGGTGGCCGAGATCCAAACGAAAACGGGCAGCATCACACGAGGGTTCAACTCCATCTGCCCGTTGCCTTTTAATTGAAGTATATTTATATACTTCAACCCGGGCAGTATGTCGGCGCACGAGCACCGAGCAGCGGCGGGGGAGAAGAGGACAGCGGCGCGAGGAAACGATCCTCGCGGTGCGCTAGAACACTCCGCGCAATACATTGGACAGCGACGCTCGCCTTACATATGTATTTTGTTGTACATAATACAAGTACTTAATTTATACAGTCCACTTTATTTCATTTATATACCTAAGTCAAAGAACCTCACGGACATATTAAAAAGCCTTTAAAAAACAGTAGGCCAAAGCCTGGACCGCGAACTAGAATTTTTCAATACTTGTTTTTGTTCTCCTGTAAAGTATAATTTTTTTTACTTTATTGTGTCATGGCAGGTCACATCATCTGCTGGATCCATTTTTTTACTGTGTAAAAGACATCTCCAGCACTAGGAATATATCCTGTGTTGTGAAGGATTTTACAAACATTCATGAAACTGACACAAAGAACACCCAAACTCAGAACAACAATCTGTGGATCACATTATGATGTGTAGGAAGAGGCGAGGTGACCGTTTAAACCACTACGCATCCGTGCAGTGCAACTATAAACCTTTATGTAACAGTTTTTTATATCAGTTTTAACTTTATAAGATTACCCTTAGATGATAGGAATAAAATGTTACTCACCCTAAGATTAAAGTAGATTTTCTTGGCGGACAATTCTTTGATGCGCTGTATGAAGTCAGTACTTTTAACTTGTACAATTTTGTAGTGTTTTTTCAATTTAGCGGCAGAAAATATTGGTGTAAGGCGACGCCTCAATGAAGTCCACGCAGGATCCTATGGTAAATAAATTTTAGTTAATAAAACCTGCTGAGTGCATGTCGATTCATGCGCAATGTGGGATTTTGTAGCTTACTAATATTGATTTAAATTAAGTTATACCTTAATTTTCTTTCCTTCATCCAAGTGTTTTTTCCAAGCTATTTGTATTGTTCTAGATTTTCCCTAGCATATACAAGTTATTAGGGAGAATATCAGACATAAACAAACAGAGTTAACTCCGTTACTATAGTCCATTAACGTCGTGCGCGACCGTCCTGCGGGGTGACAGACGGTGGTGGGGTCGAGGTACTCAAGATGTGAGCGGGTAGCGGGTGGTGTAGCGGGGAAGGGAATCGTGTGTAGCCGTGTGCTAGAATGACGCGCTACCTCGCCCCCGCCACTGTCTGTCACCCCGCGGGACGGTCGCGCACGAGATTGCCGGGTTATACTTAGCTTGTTGAACACTAGAATGCAACAATAGTTTGCGCATTAAAATTTTGTAAATGAATCACTCAATCAATAATTCACATCACACATTACATCAACAGCCTTTAATAATCCACTGCTGGACATAAGCCTCTCCTTAAATAGGAGGTTTTCCCTAATCAATGATTACGGAACCTATAAAATTATGTTATAACAGCACTAAATTTTAAACCCGTTTTTTAAGCTACAGACAAAATGAAGTGTTTTTGTGCAAATAAAAAAGAAATCGATAATTTAATCAGAATGAGGTCAAAATTAGTAGACGAAACATACAATAACAATCTTTAGGAGCACGACCTTGCTCAATATTTTCGTTAGTTACTAATTAATATGCTATTGATCCATCTGAAATTTTATATTTATAATAATATTCTACCACATTCACACTACACCATCTAGTCCCAAACCAAGTAGAGTTTGTAATATCGCTACTAGACAACTGATACAAATACATTCATACTTTTTTTTTGTAAATACATACGTTATACATAGAAACACCCAGACCAAATCAAACATTAAATATTCATGCACACAAATGTTTGATTCGAGCGGAAATCGAACCCGCGACCTCTGGAATAGCAGTCCGTTACACAAACTACTACGCCATCCGGTCGTCTAATTGTTATTATCAGTAACAACAATAGACATAGAATATTATGCAACCATAATATATGTCTATTGTATGTATGTTGTCACGACATAGGTTCATTAAAACAAATATTGTGTGATGAGCAGGATCATCAGTTCTTTGTGTGGGTGTCATCATTCCTTAGTATAAAATAAAGCTTTTTTGTTGTACGTTTAGATATTTTAAACTAAGCATCTCATTTTAATGCGATTTTTACCTATAGAGTGAATAAAGAGGAAGGTTTGTATGTATATTCGAGAATTTCAAAGATTTCTCGTAAAATACGTGGTTTTTGCCACGTGGTTTTTTGTGGTGGATTAGCTAGCGCCAGCAATGTAAGCAACATTGCTGGCGCTAGCTAATCCTTACGAGATAGACCAAAAAAATTGAGTAAGGAATTGTATATTTAAAAAAGATCTACAAAAAAGTCCGTAATAGTATAAGTCTATCTACTATAGTTAAACCGCCGTAAGCTTGGCCCTCCTGATGGTTTGGGGGACGCGGGGCGGGGGTGCATTCAACCAATTAACTAGTGCGTTGCTGTCCGCCGGCAGTGACTGACGTGAAAGTATGGCTGTACGTGTTATTTTTCTTAAGACTGCTACACACGGGATTATTTTGCAACATGGATAATCTGCCGACTCTGCGTCACAAAAAGATTTAATAACTTGAAGTTCGGCTTACAGAGGTTATACTGTTACAGTTCTAATAAAGAATATTTATAATTTTACTTAATTTTTAAATTGTATCTAAATATAATTTACATGATGAAGATAAGGTGATTTTATTAAAATTATTTTACAATATTAAATTTTACAATTAATCATAAAAACTTACAGTACACTGATATTATAATACATGGGAATAAATTCGATTTTTATTACATCGTGTGAAGATTAAATCTCAAACAAATAAATGTGAAGATATCGAGTTAGTACATCGTGTCATGTATAGCCGAGCGCATCACCCGCCCCGCGTCCCGCAAACCATCAGGAGGGCCAAGCTTACGGCGGTTTAACTATAAGGATAAGCCACAGTAACCATTTACATCTTTTAAATTTTATAAAAAAATAATTAGTTATTTACAAAGCTATTTGAAACAACATGCATTTAATGTCGATTAAAATTGCATATCACTAAAATGAATATTTTAAATGAATTTAGAGGTTTAAAATGCGGGGGTAAAGCGGCCGTCGCCGCTTCAGGCCGTCCGTCCTATAAATATTAATATTGCCTATGAATATGTCCTACAGTATAGTCTTATCACAATAATAGTACATTTAATTAGTCCACACTGACACCACCTTAGTAGTATTAGTAGTATCTACATTGCACCCGTGCGTATATGAGTATGTTTACTCTAGAATATTAGTTATAAGAACTCTGGAAGTTATAGTCGGCGAAATGTTGCCTTTAATAAGTCTCTGTATATCCTTTCGAGTAATATAATTTTAAACAAGAAATTGAGTTTTTGTGTTTGTTACGCTTTCACAGATTAACTTCTTAAACAATCAATACTCAAAATAACCATACACAAAAAATACTTTTCAGAAAGGCGACAAAAGAAGGTAAAAAGTACAGATATTTGAAATATAATTTAAAGCTACTTACTTTAATAAGTAGGATACTCATAGATCCCATGGGGTCAGTCTTGCCGGAGCTCATAAATCTGTTCCTAAAGTTATCAGAGTCCTTGACCAAGATCCTTTTAATTATTTCGGGGCTGTTAATCACCAACGCGGGCCGCCAAAACAACCACATTCCCAGGTACGGAGATTTGAAGTCATTGTAAGCTTGACGCATCCAATATGCCTGAACAACGAGAGTTTTTTGAGTGTTTACAAAAATTAGCAATTTATATAAATGTATATATTTTTTAAGACAACTGCCGAACTAGACTCATATTGTGTCACGGGGGACTTTACAAACATATATAAAACGGACACAAAGTACACAGAGTGTTTTCCCATGTTCGGATCGAACCCACAACACTCAACGCTGTAGGAAGCGGCGAGGTAACAGCTTAAACTACGATGCTATTCGTGTAGACAATTAGATTGAATATTAGATGTTTAATCTCTTGTGTAGGTTTTGGGAATGGACGACACGTTTTATCACGATAGAGGCTTTGTCATCAAGTGGTGAAGTGACCCGCCGTGTCCGGATCAGACACCAAGTTGATCAAGCTTTCCTAAAATATAACGTAGAGTAGATAAAACCATATAACTTATCATATAAACCCCTTGCGAAATTTGTAAATCTTACAAATAGTTGTCCCACATCCGGGTCAAACCCCTTTGTAAGGAACATTAATCTGGTATTTTGGTGGAACAAACTATGACAACTTAAATTCCTTAAGTAGCAGGTGTCTAGTAGATCCGTCTGCTCCTTTGCCCCCTCTTACATGAAAAAAAGTATAATAGATATACTGATCTTAGTTGCAAATATAATTTTGTTTTATAAATATTATTTAATCAACAACGAACGTACAAGGTTAATCGAAAAATTGCAGATAAAAGACGTCATACTTACAACATGCTTATGTTTCTTTTATAGATTAAAATAATCTGTAAAATAACTAGTTATAAATCAATTAACCTTGACTTTTTTGCGTGTACATAAAAACACAAGGATTTTATGAGATAGTACATCTCAATGGAACTAATGAAACCAATCTGAATTGATATGTCGTACTGCATTCATTGGTGGAAGGAAGATTGCGGTTCCTTTTAATTCTCCTATTAAGGCATGACCTCAAAAGAGGCAGCCTAAGATAGCTTCCTAAATAGTTATTATTGAGACATATTTGGCCTCAAACCATGAAGGTGATTGCCCGTCCACTTAAGGTCATAACCAAGCGCCTCAATGCCTCACGAAGAGTTGGAATACGAACCTTTATCATCTAGTCCATCCGCGGCAAATTGACCATCTACGATGTTTCCCGCTCGTCTTTAGTTTCTCTTAGTCTTTACAAAAAGAATGTAATAATACTTTGCAAATATAAATCTCAATAAAATCTACATAACTTTGGATTTAAAAACGACAGTTCCAATAATCAAATTAAAGTGTTATTAACTGTCAAAATTTAAGGCATGAAGTTTCTTAGTAAGTAATCACCAATCGACTGTTGCTATGAGCTGGTACGAAAGTGAAATCTTTTCTTTTTAGCAAGAGTTATGCTTCAGTGCTCTTATTTATTTGATATTTAAGTCAAAACTGTTGGATACCAACTGTTGGATTATTTATTTTAACCGTATTATAGTTACTGAACTTACGTACTTATAAATTAATTTCGTAAAATTCATTACTCCTAAATAATATGAAACAAAAGGTTTAAAAGTATTTAAAAATATACTTACGGGGTTTTGTTTTTGTAAAAAGGTTAAACTTCCCATAATCGGATGTGGGGGATAATGGGGTACTCCCTTTTCTTTCCAATACCTCTTTACTTTGTTCCATCGTATATACAACCACGAGCATATAAAGAATATCACTACGAATAGTAATAAAAGTAACATCACTAATATTTTCGAAATTTAAATACGAACGTCTAAAAAATCAAAAGCAATAAGTAGTTGCACAAAATAGCGCGACACTGAATGCGTCTTAATAAGCACTGAGATAAACACACATTGAGTGTACAACATCGTGACCTCGGTCGATCTTATTGTTTAGGGTTCTGTAGCGAAGCTTAGACATTGTTAATCTTGTTATAATATATCGTAATTTTAGAATCGTCTGAAAATACCAGAGTTCAAATTTACATTAACACAAATTTAACGCACCTTTTAAAAAGGCGTCTAAGGTTTAACTACGAGTAAATGTGACTCTGAATTAGAGGTCTAATAGTTATTGTTAATGAATAGAAATAATGACTATTTAAGTAAATAGTAAATATTCGTTTTACTTTGTGTGAGCCACAAATTGTTGTTCTGAGTCTGGGTGTTCTTTGTGTCCGTTTCATGTATGTTTGTAAAGTCTCCCGCGATACAGGATATGTTCCTAATTCGAAAGTTGTCTTTAAAAAAAAAACTTTCGATATTTCCTGTAATTTTTTCAAACACGTCGCGTCATAGTCTTGTTATTTTATTTACCTGATTGTGGGATTGAACTTAGCCCGTTTAGAGGATGGCATTTTGAATAAGCTCGGATCGGCTTTCTCATAGTTTCCTCTCCTTTCATTTCTTCGTTCTCTGTATTCAGTACCAGTCGCACGTATAGGAATTAAAATATTAATTGTTCAGTTTGGATTTGGATGCATTAGCCAATTTGAATTAAAGGTATTCGGCCCTGACCTGCTCAATATACTTCCAATTAGTAGATGGCAATATTGTGTCCTTCTTAAGTACGTGAGACTAACATTATAGTTTGCAAAAACATGTCAGCCCTTGAAACGCTTCTGTCTACCTCTGCGAGGATATAGTCATGTATTATATTATGTATATACGTAAACGTTCAACGTTAAGAAAAAATCAACATGTGTGATGATATTCTTTCGCGCATACTTGCTGTGAAGTTGGATTGAGATCTACCTATCTTTCTATTTGTTTACTCAGTTTACATATTATAAGTGGTGTTTACCTATAAGTGGCTGTTGCATTGTTATTAAATATATGAGCGTGTATTACTTTAAGGAAGTTAAGTTGTTGGTGAACCTTTAATAAATAAAATAAAATATAAAACAGACAACTTATGTATGTATCTTTTTCTGTTCCTTAAAAGAAATAAGTTATCAATTATAAAATTGTGTTCATTGTTATAATAAGACCTTTTTTTTAACGCGTAAAAGTATCGAGTTGTAAATTAACAACTAATATTTATTGTATGCTGTATGCAAGCTAAAAAAAATCAAACTTCATAGTTAAATAATTCAAAAGATACGTAAATATATGACTTATCTTACCTTCTTACCTTATCTGTTTTAAAGATTTTAAGATAAAAGTCTTTGACTGCCGTATCCTTGGTTTGTATCTTTAATTAAATTTAATAGGTAAGACAAATTTAAATCATTAAAACACAAATGTAATATACATATCTATGTATGTATTAGGGAGAATTTTTAAAACAGCTAATCTTATCTTTTGGAAAAAATAGCAAACTGTATACAAGTACTGGTTCCTTACATGGCCGAACTATATGCATACAATTTTGTATGAAATTTTCGATGCGCGATGCAGTCACGCGCTCGTCCAATTTTTTATGAATTATTAATCAAGTGACATAAATTACTAGACTACTTGAAAATCTCACCGATTTATCTTAATAAAGTATCGGACTTATTAAACTAAAGTCAATATCATCTGTCTAACCTATTGGTTTGTGATGTTGACTGTGTCGGGTCGTGTGGGACAATCCTTTATTTACAACCCATGTAGCTACACAAAATGTTTGTTAATGTCAATAATAATGTTATTCTTTTCTATCTAAGTATAATCATCATCATCATAATCATCAACAGCCTTTATTAGTCCACTGCTATACATATACCTCTCCTTAGAAAGCAGGTTTTGGCCTTTTACACCACGCTAACCACACAGGATTTTATAGGGTTTGTTTTACTCTTTACAGTGCTGTTGTCCTGCGTAGTTTGCTAAATTAGTAGGCTCTTGCGACACCCACGGAATGAATAGGAGTAATAAACTTCCATATTCTTAATAAAAATTTTTTTTGAATAATATGCCAAACATTAAAGAGCAAATTATTAGACAGTAGCACGTTATGACGTCACAGATTGTTATTCCAAACAATTATTATACAGAACCTACTGTTTTAACCCTTCCTAACAAGAAACTGTCTGAAATTGACAGTATGGTCATGTATTTAATACATAAGTACACACTGTTTAAATATAATCGCAGCATCGTTGAAGGATCTTCTAGAATTCTAAACAAGTACCTACTTGTCTTGTAATACTACTCTACTGGTGTGATGAGAATTTTAAATCTATATAAATATAAATAGCCTCGAAATGATGATAACTCTTGCATTTAACTGTTTAGGTAATAACAAAAATCTATACTTGCCTTGACTGAGTGACATTGAGTCACACATAAACGCAGACCTTAAACTGTTGGGACTACTAACTTGACATTTTTGGACTACAAACGTTGGAGGTGGTGGGCTGCAGTTAAATACTGCCTCGATCTGTTCATCACATCGAGCTTCAACGCCAATTTGACCTTACCCTCTTAGTGACCCCGAAACTGAACCTTGATATGTTGATGCCTAGGATTCCGATACTGGCTGACACAGTTAAGGAAGTGCTTTCAAACCGAGACGTATGCCAACGGAATCTTTTCTTTTGCGGTGAAACCGCAAACCTGTTTTTTTTTTGTTTTTAAATGGAATGGGTTCAGTCGACCCCAATTTGAATCTTCCTTAGCACACAGCCTTGCGGGACACTAGTTTTTACAGATTTCAAGTCGGAGCATGCACCGTCAATAATGATCTTAATGCTTTTGTCTACAAGGAAAGTGGTGAACCAGTGGCATAATTTCTCCTCGGGAAGCCCATAGGAGAAGCGCGTTTTGCCAAACCCGATCGCAAGCCTTCGCTATGTCCAAGCAACCGCACAAGCGCTCTCCCTTGGTGTCGATCGCATATGCCCACCGGTGTGTTAGATAAACGAGAAGATCACCAGCTGAGCGACCCCGGTGAAAACCATATTGTCGGTCGTTGAGTAGTTGGTGATTTAAGTACTGAAGGAGCTGGCAGTTGATTACTGAATCCATAATCTTACAGAACATGGGGGTTATGGCTATAGGCCTGTAGGTAGGAACAAAGCGGTCACCTTTTTTAGAGATCGGGTGCACAAACGCTATCTTTCAGGAGTTCGGGACGACGCCTAGGAAGAAGGTCGGTGCTAATTTTAACCACTTCCTAAAATAAACGTACGAGATATCAGTTGATTGTCGAATTTCGAAAGTTTTAAATGTGAACCAGCATAAACTTGAACTGTCATTCTATAGACTTTTGTACTGTAACAGGTAAAATAACTGTAACTGGACTGTATCTAATTTTATGTAGCCGTTATTGGATAACTTTTAATTTTATAGCAGATACAAAGAATTTTCGTCACGTATTCATTTAAAGATTACACATTCGTGCAATATACTGCGTATTCTTCATCAGGCGCTACACCTTTTTAGAATAAAGCCTTTTATTCCTCAGTAAATATAATTAAATTAAATTTGTTATGTTATTATGTAATTCCTGAGTTTAATTTCATTTGATATAAGATTATTTCGAGATCTGTGAATCTCCTAATTTTACACAATGGGTGACCTAAAAACGGATCATTCCTTCTTTTATTTATTTTCATGCTGTTTGCATTTGCATTAACTATTTATTCCAGTATTAATTACGTGAGTGAAGCCAAATCCGAATATGGAAAATGTTGATGTTTATTACACTTCGGTCTTTTTTTCGGTAAGTGTCGAAACTCCCCGCGTACGTCACTACACCAGAGTTTGCAGTAAGGAGGTGTATCGAAATCGAACCGACTAAAACTACATGGTGTGCCCACATAAAGCAACACGGTAGGGAGTAGCCATACGCAGGCGTTCTCCCCTTTTTTTTTCTGTACGGAAATCCCCTCGGATACCACTTACCGGTTGCAATGTCGGACTCGAACCGACTAAAACTGCATGCCGTCTCAGGTACCAGTAGTTGGGGAACCAGGAGTACCCTAGAAAGGAAATCTCTGGTGCCCCGACGTACCTCCGGCCATCTACGGCGGGTAGACGACCCTCCCTGTGTGGGAACCCCCATGTTCCCTCTGTGCTCCCGGAAGGGCGCGCGCGTTTCATAACGCTCGGGTGACAGATGGTCTCACCTGTCACCCAGGCCTGCGCTTATGGAGGACGGAGGTCGTTCCTCAGGCGCCTGAGTGGTCTTCTCCCCTGCCAAAGTATAAGTCCACACGGTCATATGCATACAATAAAACTAGTTACCGCCGGACCGCTCACTAGGCTAAATCTAATTGCGCTCCTGAGTAGACAACAGTGGAAGACCTACAAAAATCCCGAATTGTTCAGTTTTATGCTGATTTAAAAACTTAAAATTTACGAAAATAACAGTTGCATTGTTTTGGATTTGTTTACCAACACAGGCCGCTCGTTCTCATGCAATATTCAACACTCGGATCGGTCAAGAGACGTGTTGTCGTGTTGCTAATCGAGCGATTTTGCTGTTACCGGTTTTTGAATAGTAGATATCGATAAAAAAAAAATGATAACGTGCCCGAGAGACATGGATGTATCCATGTCTCTCGTCCACATTATGATATAATTAATACAATTATGTGAATTGTGAGCTTTATTTTAAGATACTTTAATATCAAAATTACGTCCAATCAAATATAATACGTAATAATACTCATGTGTAGTACCACATTAAATAAAAATTACTAAGTGTGGATCTTCCGGAAACCTGCAATAAATAAATAAAAACAATGTGATCGTATTGTTTTTTTTTATTTATTGCAGGTTTCCTAAAGATCCGAGTTTAAGGGCTACTTTAACTTATACCTTATCTGGATACCTACAAGAAACAATGTCATTTGCACAGATCATTTCGAGACCTCTGACTTTTAAGTGTTGGCGAACAATAGAAGGATGGAATATTCTAAATGAAAAAAGCTAAGTTACAGAAATGTATTCGACATATTTATAAAAAAATAATCCAGTTTAAAAACCAGTGATGGATAAAACTATTGGTAATATCAATGATGATTGTTGTAGCAATAAATGAAGTCCTATCTATATTAATATCCACCCTTGTATCACTTTTTAAACCTGATGTCTCTAACCGCCTTCTCGAATTTATCGATATTGCGTATCGATAGTTACTACAGCCACGGTTGTTAGGCAACATGTCAATGTAGTGCGTCACTTCATTACACTGTTATTACACAGAATGTGTAAATGTGTTCGTGAAATTGTGAATGTGTTGTTTTAATTATTATGTGTGAGTTCCGTAGTGACAGCCAATTATTTCGAGAATGTGTGCGTGGTGAAAAATCCTCCCCCCCCCAATCCGCAGAAAATGTCAGACCATATTGTATCACCAAAAGACGCTATGGCTACTCCTCTCCGGTCCGCCGGTGGCCTGTGTTGCTCTATGTGTCCATCGCGGAGTTTTAGTCATTTCGATTCCGAGAGTGACCTGCACCTTTAATTGGAGAGATCCAGGAACATCTGTTAGGAATACTTACTACTTCGGCCTGCACCATGGGGATTTGGATGTGAATGTTTTATTACCAATATTCTAGATATATTATACATTTCAATCTAGACCCAACTAAGCACAAATATAATAATGCGAATTTATATTTGTAATATATATATTTGTCAATAGGAAAAAACATCTGACTCAGATCTGTGTAAATGTTTGTAAGCCGTCATTAACAGTATTTAGCATAGACGTCTTATGTGCCATCTCAGAGTAATTTGTACGGCAAATATTAAATTTGCTGATAATCTTTTTTGACTTTTTTAGTCATGGATCTAAAGACCTAACTTCTGGCACTAGATTTGCCAAAATATTTGACAAATTATTGTTCCCCAAAATGGGGACAGTGACAAATATCTTTACTGTAAATAGTTACACCTGGAGCGAGAATATGGTTTCATGAAGCATTCATCTATCATGTTCTGAGGGCGAATTCTTTTGAAAAATTACGGACGTGGAAAATTAGGGCTACTGGGTTTACCTATACATGTATTCATTACATTACTATCTAATATATAAAATATCGGGTAGGTCTGAGAATCGGCCAACATCTATTTTTCATGCCGCAATTTTTATTTTTGACAATTTTTTTTGAAATAATATATATGGCATAACAGCGTTTGCCGGGTCAGCTAGTGTCAATATATTTGTTTGGCAGGCTTTGTAGCCTCAATGGCTTGACGAATTTTGGCTGCATTGGTGAAGTAAGATTCGTTTTAAGCATTAGAGTTACACTGGGTAAATAAAAAAAGGCCGACTTTTGACGTGACAACGTCTTATAAATTGGTTTGCCGGGTGACACTTCAAGAAACTGCGTTACGCTCCGCTCACGTTATGCGCTCACAATGAGAGCGAGTGAGAGGCACGCGTCCCTTCCACTCGGGCATGGTTAGCCCGCCTAAGAGCGAGAGAGACAGACATAAAAAGTGTAAGGCACGCGTCCCTTTTTTAAATATAATTCTTTGTATAAATAAATGTTTTAAATTGTTACTATTATTTCATCCTTCTTCCTACTATACGAATGAATATTCACATTAAAATTATTTTACCACTCAAAGTCGTTGTCACGTAAAACTTTCGCCCGTATACCGACTTTACAGGCAACCAATTTTTATGTCTTTTATTTGTCTCTAATTTTTTTCTTCGAACATTTTTATAGTGGTCTTAAATGTATGATTTTAACTTTTAATAACCGTTCCTGCAATCTGATGTAGATAATTTCTTAATTATTTCAATTAGCTAAGGGGACAATGGAGCAAAAAATGGTCTCATTGTATGATCATCGCTAGCTACTCAAACGAGAGGTACTTAGGCTGCAATTAGCAATTAATAAACAAACACAAGTTACTATTCATGAACTCGTGTGACTCAGCTTGTAAACAATCATACCACGTGTTTTTATGGTATATAGGGCTAACGAGGAGACGGGTAAATACCTGATGGTAAGTCATCATCATCATCACATCAATAGCCTTTAATAGTCCACTGCTGGACATAGGCCTCTCCTTAGAAAGGAGGTTGTGGCCTACTATGCCACGCTGGCCAGACGGGTTGATATAGGGTTTGTGTCAAGTTTTCCTTCTCTTTGCAGTGCTGTTGTCCTGCGTAGTTTGCTCCCTTAGTCGCCTCTTACGACACCCACGGGATGATGGTAAGGAGTACCATAAAATTTTAGGTACTAGTTTGTTACCTTCAACTTATTTTTTCTTTTTTTTCCTCAAAATATGTAATAGATATCAAATTCTTATAAATAAATAAATATAATAATAACCTCACACATCTCATACACGGCTGTCTGACTCCAAACTAGGCAGAGCCTGTGCTATGGTAACCAGACTGCTGATAAACACACTTATATATTTCTAAATACATACATATTATAGATAAATTACACCCAGACACAGAACAAACGATCGTGCTCATCACACAAATATTTATTCTTAGTGGGAATCAAACCCACGACCACCACTAGATCAACAGTCCCGTCAAATCGATTTTTACTTAAACGATATAAAGTTATATTCAAGTTAGCCTGACGAATTGACATTACAAGTAATTCTTCTCAAGATTGCCATTTAATTAGAAAAATAATGGCAGCTGCAGAGTAGTACCTGTAGACTGGTAACTGTTAATTGCCTTTTATATAACAAATATGATTGGATAAAAGATAACAAAATTCTCCCGTTTAATTATAACGTAAATTACAACGTATTCCATTGTCATTCCAGAATCATAAATATACATGTACTCGTATAGTGTGACAGAAATGTTAAAATAAAGGCTCGGTCCTTGGCACAAACTTCACTGATAGAACCTCACCGGGACCGTAAAATAGGCCTCTCCTTTCAACCGTTACATCATTTGGCGCAGGTGCATTTGGAAAAGGTTCCAGTATGAAGTTGCTGATGATGGCGGCAAAACCAAATCGCATACTAAACATTCCGAAAAGCTTCCCTGAAAACAAATTGAATGTTATCTTTACAAAATTTTATATACTGAAGAATCTTGCTCTGTTTTTCATAATGAGAATTAAATTAATAAGATTGCGGATGAATATTAGTAAAGAGTCCTTTTGCTACAAATTAACAATGGGTTTAGGGGAATTTTTAACCAATACGCAAACCTCAAGGTCTGCCACACAATTCTTTGTGATGTAGCGGTAAATGAGCAGATAAAAACACCCGATGGAAAGTGACTACTGCTCGTGAATATTTATAACTCAAGAACCAGTTCTTTCCTGGTCTCTAGAGTATGGGTATGCTCTTTTCTTGAAGGTTCGAATATCGTATCAATCTACAAATCCCGCCGGTAACAATTTGTTCCACAGATTGGTTGTGTAAAGCAAAAAGTTTTTTGAAAATCGCACAGCGATGAAGTAGCAATTATCGAAAGGATGGAGATGGAAGAAATTCTAGAACGAAATATTAATTGGAATGAAAAGAACACTTTTTATTTCACACAGAATTTTCTAGAGAATAATTGAAATGTAGAAGATAAAAGAATAAACTGACCTATACAGGATCGCGGTCCATCTCCAAACGGCAGGTATGCATATGGTATAAATGTTTGCATGTTCTCAGGTAAAAACCTCTCTGGTTTAAACTCCATAGGGTCCGGAAATATATTAGGATCCTGATGCATACCATTACTATTGACGTATACCACAGTCCCGGCTGGAATGGTTAGATGTTCGTCGACCTGGTACTCTCTCGAAGAAGTTCTGTCAAGCCAACCCATGATTGGATATTTTCGCAAGGCTTCTAAAAAAATAGGATTAAAATTAAAATACATTCACAGCTTCGCAACGGAAAGTGACCCATCGGGATAAACAATCTTGGTTTTAATTTAAAAGCGCTGCCTTAGTGGGTTCGATTCCCGGACAGGGCAAAATTTTATAGGGTTTTTCCAAGAGGTAAAATAGCCTAAGTTACTCCTTATATAACTTCCTGGTAGTAAAATGTTATCAAAATCGGTCCAGTCGTTTAGAAGATTACCAGGAACAAACAAACAGAGAAACAAAAAAATAATAAACTGGTTTTCAGGCATAGGTATCGTGCAAATAATCGTGTGAACACGAAAAAAAAACTATTATTTTGACATTAAAAATATACTTCAATTTTATTTATTTGTATAGAAAAGACTCTTTGTTTCTGCAGTGAAAGAAAACTGAAAAGATATAGAAGACACAATGAGTTATAACTATATTAAACTACATAACTAAAATTACTTGGCACGTCGTACATACGCACACCTGATTCTAAATTAATCAGAGCTTGTACTAAAATAACCTGACTAATTAACACATAATATTGTCTGTTTATAGCTTGTGCTTGTTTAAAATACATCTAATAGGAAACTGATAACATATGGAACTACTATATTTTATCAGTTTCCTGTTATATGTATTTTGCATATACAATACAATACAATACAATACAATACAATACCTTTAATAATAGCGTTGAAGAAAGGAAGTTCTGATAAATCACTTGCTCCAAGCTCTTTGTCTCCGATTTTATTTTTGACTTCTTTTAGCTCCTCATAGACTCTTTGCTGTAATGAAAAATTGTCTGTTTTTTTTTATCAAAGTTTTGAGTTTGCAAATCTTAACCGTATAATCATAGGTTTAGCGTTTTCAGATTTAACTATCTGTGGATTGAGGTGCGATTCGAAATTTAAATAAATTTTATTCGAAAGCGAATATTATTTTAATTTAAAATTCAGTCATTTGTTTTATAAAGTTTGTTGTTTTTGTGAAAGTGTGTTAGTTTTTAGCGTCATAGATAAACTGAAAATCCGATTAATTTGCGAATATCCGAATACCGCTGCGCAAACAATACGAAATCTTAACGAAGTATACGGGCCTTAAACTGCTTGCACAAACAGGGTACACTATTGTTTCAATCGTTTTAGATCTGACAATTTTCAGTTGAAGTCTCGCGGTTGGTCGGTGACTATGGTCGACAAAGATGAATTAAAGGCGATAGTGGAAGCGAATTCAACTCAATAATCTTTCTGCGGGCTTTGCAATTAGTGCCAATACAACATTGAAGCACTTGCGTCAAGTCGAAAAGAAAAAAAGCTTTATAAGTGAGTACCACACGAACTAAACGACCATCAACGAGACTTAGGCGTTTAAGCCGTCTGATCACAGTTGTTAGATTCTCTAGTTCAATTATGGTACTACTGGGATTTTTTTCGCCGTAGTTCCATGGATCTGGAATACTGTTTATACAAGACGAAATTAGTCCCGTTAGTTTCATTACAATCACAATAAAATAAACAGGTGCAACTATCATTTGCTCGTTTAATCATCATCTACCTACCCTTATCCCGATTTCATTTGGGGTCGGCGCAGTATATATGAATACTCTATTCTACTCTATTCGGACATCGAACATCTGAAACACAACGCCATCTAGTTTCAAAAGAATAGAATACTTATATCCTTTTTTTTGTAAATATATACATATTATACATAAAAACACGCAAACTCCGAAACAAATATTTGCAGATCATTCAAACATTTGGTCCGACCTGGGAATCGAACCTGAGACCTCAGCACAGCAGTCGCATACGCTACCACTGCACCACCGAGGCAGTTAAAGTCTATCATTCGCTGTTTACTCCCTTCCTAGCCTTATCTCCACTCATACAGTCCATCCACCTTTTCCTTTCTTCCTCTTCTCTTGTACCTTTCAACTCCCATACCATATACTTTCTTCGCCACATTTTCCTCATCCCTCCGCATATGTCTTCCATACCAAGATAACCTATTACTTCTTAACTTTTCATCCAGTGGCGCTACTTTGTTTGCCCGTTTATTAGTAGGTATTAGTTAGTAGTAGTAGTGTTAGTGGTAGTAGGTATTAAACATGACTTACGGGTTTCATATATTTTTCATTTTCTACCTCTATCAATGAGAAACGTCGAAGATTTTCTCTTAGAAATATGAGACTGTAACTTCTCCAGTGAGAAGTTCAGTTGTGAATTGAGAGGATATCCTTTGCAATAAAATTTAAGTCTCTTTTCATGTCAGGATTTACCTACGTTTTCTTGTATTTTCTTTGAATGTATACTGTATAATACGTATCGTCGTTTGATAAAGTTATTATAGTAGGGGAGCCCATAACGCTAAATAGGGATTTACTCGAGTGTCGTGGGAACCTATTGCATTTGAAAGATTATATTATAATGCTTCCACTTTCAGTGGTGGGAAAGCTTTTACAATAGCTTGCAGGTGAGATCTGGGGCGGTGTACTATAGGGATCTTGTGTCAACTAGGGGGAATTTCTGTGCGTTTAGGCGATTCTGCCATACATATTATAGAAATCAAATATAGCTCACCAGGACCCGTAATATTTTGTAGCCGTAGTGCTTCCCTGTTTAAAAGGGTGTTTGCCTATTTTACTTCATTTTGTCTCCCGCTTTGCTAAGGAGGGAAGTGGATTTACTGTTTTTCCAACTCCTCCAATTTTCACACACACACAGTTTAAATTCGTCATAACTCGGTGTGTTCGTGGATCACTGCCGTGGGTCCTGGTGTACAGGAGTTACAGTGGTGGGCGTGTGGGTGGGATTAGTCTCATTAAAAAAAAAGTTTTCGAATATGGAAGGGGAGGAAATTGAAAAATTCGGGGGCATCAGATATTTTGGGGATATGTTATTTGGACGCCAAGAATGCTCTCATTGTAGGTCTGACGATTTTAAATTGACACAAGCTGGTAGCGAATTATCAAAGATACAAACTACAAATTCCAAAAATCGCCATGTCGAAATACCCGAAATACCGTGTTAGATTTTATACAGACGGTTCAGCTTGATGTACCCGTCATACTAGCTACAAATCTGAGGAAAATTTTATTTTAGAGTATTTTAAATAAACGGTTTGAAATATTAAGATATTTTGCGTTTTATAAAATGTGACAAATAAAGACACGAAAAATTATATAGACATTTAAAAGAGGTTTCTTTCATTGATTGCTTCAAAATAAAAAAAAATGTCAAGGTCATGTGTATTTTTTTGGAACATTGTGGCCCTCCCACTGCTCTATGTCACGCTTAAATCGTCAGATTTTATTAAATACGGACTAATGTGTATGTAATTGACTCAACTTACCTTAATCTTACACGCTCGAGTATTTCTGACCATCAATTTTTTTCTACTAATCTGATGTATGGTGGAGGTACCCAACTGGGTGTAAGGTGTAGTGTTTAAACACTTGACCAGTAAAATAAAATAAAGATACTAGAACAGATTATATTTTCAATAATTGAAGACTTAGTAGTAACTCGTCCTTGAGTAATAACTATTTCAAATGTATTGTTACGTTATTTTATCTTCTGTGTGTATAATTTCGTATCCTCTAATTTTCTTGTTGAGGCTATTATCAACACGAAACTACCATTAAATTACTCAGCACATATAGTATGGGATTGATATAATTGTCCCTTACGTGATGTCAAAATGTTTATAATGTGTTTTGTACCACCATTTTATTGTGCCAACTTTCCGCCGATAGATGTAGATGTCCAATTAGACTATTCTAGAGATTTTCGAATTGATTTAATTACAGTATATTTTATCGTGTGGTGACGGATTAGGAGTACGGAGTGTCACGACCCCTATATATCCCGTGGGTATCGTAAGAAACGACTGAGAGAGCAAACTACCAAGGGCAACAGCACTGCAAAGAGAAGGAAAACTTGACACTAACCCTATACCAACCCGTCTGGCCAGCGTGGTGTAGTAGGCCACAACCTCCTTTCTAAGAGAATTATGTTCAGCAGTGACGATGTGACAGTTTATTTTCCGTTTATCCTTTTTTTATGTTATAGGGGGCAGACGAGCAGATAAGTCACCTGATGGAAAGTGACCATCGCCGCCCATGCCCATGGCCTTTTAAAAAACGCACTTAAGTAACTGTTACATGAATTCTTTTTAATGGACTTCAAAAAGATATTGGGCTCTGAAATCAAGTGTTTTTTTTTTTTGACGTTTAAGCACATTGCAATTTGTAACCCGATTTTTTTTATTCAATAACTATTTGTTTTTTATCAATTTGGTTTTCTAAGCATAGTTACTTTTAAATCTAAAGAAAATATTCCATTTTTGAGATTGTTTTCTTACACTATGTGATGAGAATGGCTAGAGAAGAATATCTGAAAAATGTGCAGGTGGCTGATGAACCTTCCACCGCACGAATTCGACGTCAGGGGGTATGCAATACTAAACTAGTCACTCAAATTTCGTCATCATTTCAATCGTCTCCAGCTTGTTCGAGTTGTACTGTACCTCCTGAGTAAAGCTTTACACAACACTCATACGGCAGTCTGGTCCTAAAAGAGTCTGTACTGTGGTAACGGATCTGCTTACAAACAAACTTATATTTTTCAAATACAAACAAATAGATAAATTACACCCATACACAGAACAAATGATCGTAATCATCACATTATATTTGTCCTGGGTGGGAATTGAACCCACGACTTATGGCTTAGCAGTCAGGGTCCACTAGACCAATAGGTCCGTCTAGCGTTGCATTTATTGCTTTAAGCTGTCACCAAAGCTGTAGAATTTATTTATGGTCTTACTTGATATGGAGGCTTATAAGCCATTTCGTAAATCATGTAGCATAGTAAAGTAGATGACGTTTCATAACCTCCTTGTAGAAATATCATAGCATTGGAAATGAGAACCATTTCATCAACATCTGAAAATATTAGAAGAAATAATTTGAATATTTCTTATGATGTAAGCCTTTGCGGCAATTTGCTTTTAGTACTTACTCTGATTATCTTTTATTGCGTTTTGTTTCATCTTCAGTAGTACATCCAGTAGATCTTTTTTGCCTTCTGTCTCTTTTTCATACCCTCCACGTTGTTTTACTATCATGCGGAACAGCTTTACAGCGTATGCATTTGTATGCTTGGGCCAAAATGTGAAACTAAAAATTTGACATGGCTTTAAAGTGAAATTGAAAGTTACAGCTATAAGGTTTTAGAACTTGAGAAAGTAAAATTTCCTTTTCTCACACTGTACGCACGGCGCACTTAATGACACAACTATCGCGTCACAGGGGTGATTCGAATAAAACCACCGTATCGCACTATACTGTATATATTTACACAAATATGAAACCAATACATACATGTATTGGTTCCTTGAAAGGTTTTATTAACAATAAATGTCTGGTCTGTTTACGTGGCCCTGTGAACCAAACTATATCACGATTCAGAATTAGTGTGGCACGCCATCTATCGATAGATCGACAAACTAAATTATTGTTACAACTAAACACACACTGTCTTTTTACATTTCCTTACATCTTTTTTTTGCATCTTCCGCAATAACATGAACTATAATAATATATATAATAACATGAAACTATATGTTTCATTACAATCCAAACTAACAAAGAAACAATATTGGAATGAATAATAAATAAAAATTTAACTCCTCTACCTCTTACTCTTTTGAGGATACATATGTGAGCATATGACTGTTTATAGCTTTAGTAAAAACACCTAAATCTATAATTTTTCTTTTAAAAGATCAATCTAAGATTACCAGTAGAAACTGTTCCAATTATTTTTGCCTGTTCCAATTGAGATAAAATAATGTACCAAAATAAAATTTTAATTATACTTGCCCCAAGAAGTCTGCTAGTTCTGGAAAAAAGAAGATGAAGCACCATTGGATACCTCTGTAGGTGCTGTACTTTTCGAACTCTTTAGTCATCGCCCTTAAAGCCCCACTGCCGGTTTTGGTGGCTTCGCACTTGATTCCAAACGCGGATTCTCCAATGATATCGGTTGTATAGTCGGCAAAAATTTCCTATTAAATAAACCCATAGGAAATATTTGGTGCAGTAGAGGTTTCTGGAGTACTAAACTAAGGAGTAATGATGTGATCCAAAATTATTCTAAAGATTTGTATTTTTTACAAAATGTTCCAAGTATATCAATTTTGTAAATTGGGGGTTATTACCCTTTTTTTTCTGTGCGGAAATCCCCTCGGATACCATCTACCGGTGGCTATGTCGGACTCGAACCGACTAAAAACCGCACGCCGTCTCGGGTACCAGTAGCCGGGGAACCAGGTGTACCCTAGAAAGGAAATCCCTGGTACGAAGATTACCCTGGAATTTACAAAGTAACCTGGGGCGTGACACATTCGTTTCCATTGTATATAATTTCATAATTATTTCAGATTTGTAAAGCTCATGTAACTTGTTGGAGAGAAGGGAAACCACTTGATTTAAACAATAATAACCACTTTAAAGTTAAATAAATTTCGATCGAAAATCTGTATCAATAAGTAGATAAAAATTATAATTTTGAACTAACAAATTACGAGTAAGCGAATCCACGTCGAAACAATAAATTGCACTTGTTGCCCTAAAAATTGATTAAAAAACATTAAGAAAAAATCTGGTAAGTATGAAATTACCTTTAAATTAATTTTAACATCCTTTTCATTGTCAGATTTGATTCTAAACACTAAGTCAGCAGACTTGCTTCGGTACAAATCCTGCCAATTTTTCACTTTGGCCGTTGTAAAAACTGATGTCAGCCTTTTGCGTATAGCAGACCATAAAGGATCCTATAAAAGATTTAAAATTACAACACATTTATTTTGCACTAAGAAGAAAGAGAAAAAGAAGAAAAGAGAAAGAGAAGAAAAGAAGAAACTGCACAGATTTTTTTTTGCATTATAAAATATAATGAAGAGAAGTGTGAAAAGAAATTTAAAAAATAACGTGAATTAAACAAAACATAGTTGAGCTGCAGGATTGAAATTAAAACTGATTTTGGGATCACTTACGTTAGCAGTAAAAATATTGTGAGTCCCTAATTTATCTCTCGTGCCGGTGCTGAGCAATCTATTTCTGAAATTATCAGAGTCTCTGACTAGTATATTGTGAGCGAGATTTGGGCAATTGACGATCAGCCCTGGACGCCAAAATACCCAAATGCCCACATAGGGATGCGAGTACTGATTGTAGACGCTTGCCATCCATGTGCCCTGAAGTAGATAGTGTAAATATTAAAATAACATGATAAAATTATATGATTAAAAATGACAAATAAACGTATCTTAACCCTACTATGTTAACACGCTGGGGGATTATTGACAACTCTCGCTCTAAGCAAATATTTACATTCATTTACACGTACGTACATGTTCACATTTTTTTATCTATTTATGTATGTTTTTCTGTGTTCTAGGACAAGTAATACAAGCCATGCTTAGTTTACGACTAAGAATACTGTATAATACGCTTAAGCACATTATTGTTATTATTAATATCCAAATAAATCAAACTGTCCAGTGCTGCTAGTCCAATGCTGAAGATAGTCCTTTCCTTTCCCTTTTACATACAATTCTTGTTATGTACCTTCTTCAGACCTTCTGTTCAGGCATGATTACCTGGCCTGGTTGAAAGCTCCTCCTTTTGTGTTAAAGGGATATTAACAATGGTTCCTCCACAGTCTAATTAAAATTGAAGTGTTATCTTAGCTTTTCAAGTGACATTCAAATATTATTTTTAATTTTTTAAAACCATTAATATAATCTAAGTAGTAAGTTCTCTATTGTCAAGTTTTTTATTCTGTAATTAATAACTTTATCTCACATACGGCCGTCTGATCCCAAACCCGAGTGATAGACATACTTGGCAAGGGGAATGACCACTTTGGCCTCAAATTTAAGATTAAAACAATTTCTGTTCATATTTTATAACATTAAATCTGATAATAAAAAATCCGTACTTCGACTAAGAAAGTCAAGAGGATCAAAAGATTCTAGTTCGTTTTTCTTCAGTTTTTTATTGATTTTGCTAGATAGGTAATTAAAACATTAATTTTAAATTTCTGTGGATTTGTCAAGTAATCAAGACTGTGTGTCAACTACCTACTACTACTTTATCCGAACATATTTTACTTTAAAAACTAGATATTATACCACACCCGTACAATGGAAACATTTGTTCGTCGTGAAATTCTTGCCACATTGAGAGTAATTGTAAGACATAATATGATGTTTAACACTCTAGCTACTTGGATCTAACCTACACTGATTTTTGAAAATATTTTTGTCATCGTAGTTGATTTATTTTCGATAAATAGACGGCAAACCATGGGTTTTAGGTAATAATACTAAAAGTGCCACACACAATGTATTAGCTAAGTGTTTATGATCGAAAATATGTTGTTTGTCTTTTGAACCTCCGAATTTTACGAACGATTGCAAGATCTTTGTAAAGCTACTAAGTTCCTTGAACAATCCCCTTTCTAAATACACACATGTTTTAAATAAATTACAACCAGACTGTTCAAATGATCGCGCTCATCACATAATTTTTCCCTGGGTAGGAATCGAATCCACGACCTTTGGCTTAGCATTCAGTAACGCAAACAGTAGGATCGCTTACCTCTGTCTGTCCTTTTAGGGATAAAGATATCTATATGTGTTAAAAAATACTTACAGGATTTATTTTCTGCAAAAATGTTAAACTGCCAAATATGGGATGTACCTCACATTGAGGTATCCCTTTTTTGATCCAAAACATTTTCATTTTGTGCCATTTTATGTACAACCATATCACAATAATTAGTATTAAACTTATCAACATTAAATTAACCAAAAACATTTTGAAACGTCAGTTCACTTCCTAAAGTATTTGGTGACTGTATGACTTTGGTACTTCGTAATGAACGATCTACGCAACACTGTTCAATCTGTCGGTAAACTATTTTTTATCAGTTAGGGAACTGACCTGGAATACCATTTATTTTATTATTATTTATGTGACAGATAACTCTTAACCGTTCAAAAGTATTTTTAATTAACAAACCAGTGAAAAGTACTTTGGCAAATAGAACTGGTTAATTTCTCAGGTATGCTTTAGGGATTCACTGCCAGATTATTTCTGGTTGTTCTCCTCTTGCCATTAGTGAAAATTTGTTTTACAATTTATTACATTCATCAACCATCTACTTTAATTTTGGTAATGGAAATTATAAAACAATAAATAAACCACTCAGAAACAGAAAACAAAATAGGATATAAGTTCTAAAAATAATAATTGTATTACCCAAAATTTTGGCAATTTTTATAAAAATCTTAAAAGTCTAATTTATTGAAAATGGTTAGGTTTGGGATATGGTATTTTATAGTTGTATCTATCAGAAACTGCGACCCCCTAAAGTATCTATGTCAACTTAACCAGTATCCCTGTATAAGATATTCGATTTTACCGTGGGAGAGGCAGTGGTAATCAGGAGTGATTTGACTGCACGGATGGCGTAGTGGTTTAAGCGGTCGCCACGCCGCTTCCTAGTACGCCGAGTGTTGTGGGTTCAAACCCCACATGGGACGACACTTTGTGTGATCCACAAATTGTTGTTCTGAGTCTGGGTGTTCTTTGTGTACGTTTCATGTATGTTTGTAAAGTCCCTCGCGACACAGGATATGGCGTTGTATAATGCGGGCGTTGTCTTTTTTAAGAGAAAAAAATAAATAAAAATAAATAGGTACTACGGCCTTACAGAAAAACGGTACTAAGCTATTCTTTTTGTGCATCTCATCGGGTGAGTGAGGTTATCGCAGCAGTGAACCACAAACACACCGAGTTATGACACTGACACACACGGACTGCTGTTGAAGCAATCTTGTGATTTTATCGCCTTGTAACAGTTTGCGACCATACCATAGCACATAGAAATAAGTAGCTCCGTATATGATCTTTTGTGTACTAAATGATAGACCCCATGTCGCAGTTAATATACTTGTCAATTTACAAAAAAAAATCTTTTTAGACTTTTCATTAATTATTTTAATGTGTTCGAAAAAAAAAGTTCCTTTCTAAAACTAGTCCTTAGGGGTTTTTTTTTACAGTGACATTGTCAAATTTAATGCTCGTCGGTAATGTAAGGTTACCTTTTGAAAGTAGCTGGAAGGTATTGTTGGGCTCAAAAGTTAAGCGATTACGTTTACCCCAATGAGATATTAAGTTCAAACATTTATTGGCTAATTTCTCATGCCCCGCCCTAGTATCAGATCCACTAATAATCTCTGTTCCATTAATGCACTCTGAGCACATCCCATTGTAAGCGCCTTGGACACAGAATGATGACCAAGTCTTAGTTTAGTTGTACCTTATAAAACACACGAGGAGATAAGGGAATAAATATTTCTAAAGCACCCCCGTGATTTTAATTTCAGCAATAGCATGGGCCACCATGCGTTGTCGAAGCCGCCAGATACATCTAAGAAAATAACCAACATGTATTGAGATTTTGACTCTGTGATAATCTTCCTAACCGATATAAGCGCATGAATTGGCGATTTCCCCCAACGTAACTCCACCCGGTAGAAGCCGTGTCACTACAAGACGTTCTAAAGGCTTTCCTAATGCTGGTATCAATGTGATTGGTCGGTAGGATTTAGGATCGTCCGGCGGCTTTTCGCCGCTTTATGGTATTATATGAATATTACTACACCCCCAAATACGAGGAAATATTCCTTCCGCGAGGTATCGTTTAAAAACAGTAAAAATCGTGTCACACGAAAGTTTAGAAAATTTCTTTTATCATTTTGTTTAATATTTTCCTATAAAGCCTTGTTTAGTGGCAAGGATCTAACGATACTGAGATATTCGTCTGGAGATGGTAAGTCAGACATTGGAGATAGTGGTGGTTTGATGGTCCACTGCCTATGCAAGGTAGATTGATCTATTTGCCTTATATTCATGATACAAAGGTGACCACGGGCTCTCTCGATACCTGGTAACTCTAAGAGAAATGAGAGCATTATTGTACTAATCTCCTGTTATTTTTCCTCCTCCTCCTTTTTAATAGCATTTACGAGATTTTCTACGAGCTTTCCGGTAGCTTCTACATAGTTCGGATAATTTATCAGTCCACCAATCACATCTACGAGTATTAGTAATAGAACCGAATGCAGTATGTGAAAGTTTCACTGCACTTTCCTCAGCTGATAGAGTACTGCGACTGTAGTCTTTGGTATGAGTTGCAAAGAGTGAACCAAACAAAGCCCAGTTCACACAGGATCCGCAAAGAGCTCCCTATAGTTTTAGATATAAAACTGTAGGGAGCTCTTTGCGGATCCTGTGCAACCCTTGGTTTGAATTCGTATACGATCAAGCGGTGATCACTGCAGGATGCTTCCAGGAGGACACGCCATCCTGAAATCAAGACGTCGCCGCTTGTAAGCGTCACGTCAATAGAAGACTCATCCATTGGGTTGCAAAAAGTTGGTGGTGGATCCGGGGAATTGTGAATAGTAAGTATCGTTTCCGCATTCATAACCGTATATGTTGAACGCAACTTACCTTACCATAATGTAGATGACGTATTGATATCAGTGCCAATTATAATTTTATGTCGAACGAGGAATTGCAAGACGTAACGTAAATGATGTAAGTGAGGATCAATAGGATGTGAAATACATTGTACATGTGTACATGTATTAATGCGACATACATACGTATGTATGTATTTATAAACAAAAGTGTATAAGTATTCTATCAGTCAATCTGGCTTTCATATTACAAAAACTACTACTCCCAAAGAATCGCACCAAAAACTTAAACACTTACACCTTATATTCATCGAATGTAAACGGAACCATAGCGCGATCTAAATTTGATGGTTACGCCATCTTTTTTTTTTTTTTTTTTTTTTTTTTTTTTTCACGCGGGGAATGCTTTTCGCACCATACCCTCCGTTGGGGAAACGTAGGGCGTGTGTGGGACTCCCGGAGAACCGGTCTACCCACTAAACCCCGCGGCGGCCTACCTCGGCAGTCGGGAGGAGCTCCAGGAACGCATCGGCGACTTCTGGAGTCCTTCCTGCCGTACCTCATGTCTGAGGCACATCCCGGAGTGATCGAAGTCACCCTGGGGCAGGACGCTACCGCACCTCTCACTGTTCTACAGAGTAAAAGGCGCAACAGCATCCCGCCTTAGACGACAGCCCCCGGCCGCACCGGAGTGTCATCTGTCTCGGGTCGTTTACAGCGGTCACATCGCCCCAAGATGTGGCCGCAGCGACCCTTAGGCGGCGATATGGGAGTTAGCGACCTCTGCCACGTCCCCTTCGCCGCCTCCTTCGAGCGGGATCGGCCCTCTCCCGATCCCGCTCTGCGGCCTCCTTTTGGAGCATAACGTCCTCGCAGAAGGAGACAGCGGCTGCCCATCCCTCGCCACTCGCCAGCATTGCCGCGATTAATGCTGGCGGTGACAGGTTTCGTCCGATCTGTCCGACCAGGACTCGACGTTCGGACTCCCATGCAGGGCAGTCCTCCAGAGTATGCTGGGCGGAGTCCCGGTCGGACCCGCAATGGTGGCATTGTGCCGTGGCCTCCCGTCCAATTCGATTCAGATACTCACCGAAGCAACTATGCCCGGTAAGCATCTGAGTCAATCGGTAGGTGACACAGTCGTTCCTCCCTACCCACGCTTCGAAGCTCGGCAGAACGGCTCCGACGGCGCGTTGGCTGGCACAGCCCTGGATTACAAGCCGTGCCTGCCACGCTCGCAGAGCCTGGGTATGCGCGTTCCGCCGCAGCATTCCGGGCTCATGATCCGGCGCGGCCTCCTCACCATTCCGACCGACAGAACGGACTTGGTCATAGACCATCGCGTCCATGTCGGCCAGAATGTCGAAGGGTGGATATCGCGCCAGGACCGTCGCCGCCTCAAACGAGATGGTACGATAACCCCGTACGACCCGTATGGCCATCAACCGCTGCAGGCTTCTGAGTAGAGCCTTGCAGCGGGAGGCACCCGCCAAGTCATTAGACCAGACGGGCGCCCCATAGAGGACCATGGATCGCACGACCCCCATATAGAGACGGCGAACTTCTTCCCGTGGTCCCCCGAGATTGGGCAGCAGGCGATGCAGTGCACCCGCTACCCCGCGCACTCGGGGGACTAATCGCACGAAATGCTCTTCGAAGCTCCACCGACTGTCCAGGATGAGGCCTAAGTACTTCATGTACCGGCCCACCTGGACTTCAGCGTCACCCACCCGGAGGCATGAGCTGGGTGGTTCCTGGCGCTTACGAAGGCCATGGAACCATATCGCCTCAGTTTTCTGAGGCGCCACCTTCAGACCCAGCTCATGAATCTTTCCCACGACACAAGCCACCCCATGCTCGGCGAGCCGAAGCACCTCGTCGAAGTGTGACCCTCTAGCCAGTATTAAAGTGTCATCAGCATAGCAGACAACACTAAGGCCAGAGGGCAGACTGGTGCGAAGGACCACATCATATGCGAGGTTCCACAACAAAGGGCCTAAAACAGAGCCTTGGGGAACCCCGCAATACACTTCTCTCCGATTTTCCACCCCGCCCCGACCGATAAACTTCACTGTCCTATCGCGCAGATAGGCCCCAATGACGGCCCGCAGGTAGAGCGGCACCTCATGAAATTCAAGGGCCGCCCTAATCGCCTGCCAGGGGAGGGTGCCGAACGCGTTAACGATATCAAGGCTAACCGCCAAAGCCACCCCCCCTGATCGGACTGCCGACTCCGACATGGAGCGA